CTATACTAAAATTGAAATGACTTAGAGGCAGTATTCCATTTGAAAATGATTTCTTTCTAAACTGTAAAAAAAAAAGATCTACAGCTTGCTGGAACTTATAAAAGAAAAACTAGTGCAGATTCTACAAAAGCCTACCACAGAGTACTTCTATCAGGAAGTCAAATGAAAAGAGATCCCTTTTCACTGACAATTTAGTATATATAGCCTTTGAGAAAGTTAAGCATTGTTGTCAAGATTATAAGAATGAATCTAAATCATTTAGATTTGAATATATGTATTATTTTAACATAATACCTTTGACTTCCTTACTAAATTGCTTTAAGAAAACATGAATCACAGTTTTATGAAGGTCATTTGGCTAAGAATTTGAAAATTTTGTAGAATTTCTTTATGAATAGCTCTTTAAAATATAGCATTTATCTTCAGCGTATTTACAGAAAATTAGACTTAAGGAGTTTGATAACAAAGCCTTTTAACAGAAATCTCTGACAAGTGGCTTAAGATTGAAAACATCAAAATTCTATGACTGTAGTTGTCATTTTTACCTTATCCTGATTTCAAACATTGTGAACGCTATGCAAAATGAAAAAGAAATTCTTTAACTAGAGTTTATCCTTTACTGCATTTCACAATCAAAGACCATGGCCAAATAGGTCACTAGCCATTCTACTCATGTGATTCCCCCCTCCCCTTTATTTTACAGCTCAGATTGCTATTCAAATAACTGAATTTTGTCTCTCCTTTCCCTTTGCTTAGTTCATCCCATTTCTTGTGTCTTTATGTGATTAGTCTGTGATTTCTCCTTATGTCTCAGCCTATCATGTTTCACTGCATTATTTTCTGATTCCCACTTTTATTCACTGTACAAGAGTGACTTGGATAACTGTTCTGTAGTCATGGTCAATTCAGCTGAGTTTTGGTGCAACAGACCATTTCTGTGCCAATTAGTTTCTCCAGGAATAATTTTGCTGTTGGCCAAGATTGTATACTTTGTACCAATATTTAAATCAATGTGATATTCTTAGCATTATCTTCACTCTTTTCCGCTCTGCCATCCTTATTGCACAAGTGGTAAAGTGAAGAAAAGTGATTTAAAAGTAATTTAAGTGAAGAAAATTAAATAGCACTGAGGGATATTTTATGTTTTTATTTGTTAAATAGATTAGCATAATTAAAAAATAATCATCTTGGGGACGAACCTTCCAGTGATGAGCTTTTCTGAAATTAGTTATATTTATCCTCAGATAACAGACATTATTTGAAACCAAGCCCAGACTGAAGGCCTTTCCATCTTGATAGAACCTACCACCTGCCAAGAGTCCCCTGCTGTCATAGTCTTGGAGAACCCCAAGTTAACCGCATACCCAAATGAAGCATCAGAAGTGTTTTGTGGCTGACAAGAGTAGCTTCATTTGAATGTGATTTTCCATTTCCTACTTTGGCCCTTTGCATCTGTGATTTAATTTCTATGATTATTTTTTTCATGTTTATTGAAATCCTTCCATACCTTCTTATCCCTGGTGATTCTTGTTCACGTTTTCTAATAAATCATCGAATCATGTGACAATAGATTTGGAACTGAAAAAAAAATTAGAGATTAATAGATTAATCCCACAATTTTAAAAAATAAGGAAACTTGCTTGCAGGTACCAATTAGAGCTGGGATAGGAACCTAGATTTATTGCCACATGTTTTAGTTGTTCTTTATGTAAAAAGAAGCCCTTCTTTTTCTTTCTTAATTGATATAGGTCACATGGACTAATGTTTGTAACACACTTAGCACAGTGCCTGGCACATAGATATTAACAAATGCTTGTTCCCTTCCCCTTCTTCATAGTTATTATGGTGATCAAACTATGTCAGTGTGACCAGTGAACACACATTAAATATTTAATGTCATGTACAGGATTAACCTCTTTCCTATGTGAAAACAAGTTAATTATTCATTATCAATGTATTTTATAACATAGGCATAACAAAATAGCGACTCCAGAAAAAAAGATAAGATTAGGAACAGCAGAATAAATAGTTCCTTTGCCTTATGCAGTGTTCATAGTTCTGTATATATTAAAGTATTACTATAGTAGATATTCATTTGGTGAAGCTAGTAATTTATTGTTGATTTTGGAAAAGTAAGGAGAATTATCTATTTAAAAGGTGTCTCTTAGCAGAATCAGTGCTGTGTATAATACATTCTAATAACTAGTAATTTTGAGTTTGGGAAATTTAGTTTTCATTCCAATAAGTAGCATTAATGAATAGCTCTGAATCAAAGGAATTCCTGCTATAATTGATTAAAATAATAAAATGACAAAAAAGAGATTTTTTAAATATGGACAGTACCTTAAAAGAAATATATTTTACTCTCTTCCTTAATTATCTTGCTTAGGATATGTTATATTTGATGACATTTAATGAGAAGGGCAAGAAGAATTCTCAAAACTACCTTTAAATCGCTCATGTCAAATTCATTAACCAGCATCCAACAATTCTCTCATTTAAAAAAATCCTTACATCTCAAATGTGGGGAGGAAAAAAACCCTTTATTTAAGCTGCATAGGGTTTAGCATCAGAGAGTCTTAACTTTTTTTGTTTCTTAGACCCTTTTGATATCCTCATGAAGCCTACGGACTTCTCAGAATTATGTTTTTAAATGCATAAAATAAAATATATAGCATTACAAAGAAAACCACTTACATTGAAATACAGTTAACAAAATACTAAAACACAAGTTTATTGACCCAGGTTAAAAACCTCTGGTTTAGTGAAATGTGCATATGAATGGTTATGTGTATATATGTATCCATACATATGTATTTACATACATATATTCACTTGCATGTTTGTGGTGCACTTATGTGTTAACATTTGTGCTGTGAGCAAATCTGCCCTGCTGTGACCCATTTGACAGCATATTTTCAAGGTCAAATGGCCTTAGGTTTAGGAAAGGTATAAGTTAGTCACAACATACAGATATCTCAATGCCTATGGCAATTTGCTTCACTACAGAATGGGCAGTAGTTGGTCCCTTGGCACAGCCATGATTCTATAGAAAAAAATTCATATGTATATGTGTTTCATATATATATGTGTGTGTGTGTGTGTGTGTGTGTGTGTGTGTGTGTCAAAAATTATTTTTGTTACTAATATAGATAAAAATTAGCTCCTCCTCTATTATTTAAAAAAACAAAATCCCCAGCATTTGGCACAGTGCCTGCATTATGGAAGGCACTTAATAACTGCTTGTTGACTGTTAGCTAGTTGCTTCTGCTTGGTTCCCCAAATCTTTTGGAAAGAGAAAAAAAATTTTTTTTTCCTCTAAAACCACTCAGTTTCTAAGTGTTCCTGAATATTAATTTACTTAGCTCCTAGATTCCTGGATTTTTGTTTGCTTCTAATTATGGATTCCTGCAGTGTGCTAGACTCTCATTATTGATCTCCCAAACCAAAGTACTACCACCTAGTGGGAATAATGCCTCTAATGCCTATTATAAAATAAGTACCAGCACAGCTGTTCTTCTGACCATTGTAGTTTCATGAGGACTGTGTCTGCTTACATCATTTCTCCCTCATACAGGATTTTATCTGTGCAGTTTTTACTGATGTCATACTCTCTGTGATAACAAGATTGTAATAGTCCAGCCAAAATGTGCACTTAGAACTACTATCATTTAATAGAGTATTTGCAATAGAGATGGCTTCTACAAGCCATCAAGAAATAAAAAAAAAATCACAACCTTATGATAAATATTAAATTGCATATTAGGTTCAGCTAATGTAAAGGGTTTTCTAATTCGCGTGGGAGCCACAGTTAAAATTTGGTTTGAGGTGTGCAAAAAATTAGTTATAATTTTCATTAGCCTATCTTACGTGCCACTTTTGCTGGTACTTTTAAAATGTTCATATATGTATGAGCACATGAATATGCAATAAAGTACTGCTGTTCTTCTTTATATAAGGACTAAATTAGAAATTACATTTTAAGAAGTTTTTCTATCCCTGCTGATATGTTATTTCTAACAAAAAGGTCATTTTTAATGTTCACTTAAGTTTAGGCATAATATAGGAGAAGGAAAAAAATAAACTGTCTCTTTGTCTTAGAATTAATTTTATGACCATAAGGAAATTAAGCTCATTATTCTCATATGTAAGTCTATCTTGTTTGATTTCATTGTGTCTTTGTTGCAGAGTTTGCATGTAATGCTCAACTTAGTGTACAAACTAGTGTCTTAATTTTTTGCATAAATGATTTTTTGTGTAAATGCTTTCAAATTATATGGATCAGATAAATGATATGGAAAGAGAAAATTTAATTGGCCCTTTGGATTCTGATTTAATGCTATTTTTAAAAATTCTATCTTATATTATCCTATTATACATGCCCTTTACATCAAAAAGAAGGGACTAAAAATTGTTGGAATTTTCTCTTGCTTTCTTCTGCACTAATATTTTTTTTTATTCTTAACAATTAAAAATGCTTTCACTTATCACCAACTGATTGAAATGAATTGAATTTTCAGTTAAAAGAGATAGAGGTAGTATGACAACTGGTGAAATGCTATGGATTTTACAATCTTGATGCTCTTAAAACATTTCCTCTTGCTTTTTTAAATGCAGTGAAAAATAAATCATGGTAAGACAATGGACTGAAATACAATGCCATAATACAAATAGTATAGTGCTAATATCAAAGTTATTTTTCTCTTTAAAGGTAATTTTAACAAATGAAATGCATTACTATTTTTAAAAATATTTATTTTACAATGTTTATCAACAAAAATATAAGGCAGATCAGGATGTGGATATAGAAAGATTGAGCAATGACACATTGCAAGGTTTCTAAACCTTAATGTGTGCTTATACATTTCTATGGCCGCAATATTGTTGTGTTTTGTATAACGTGTTGCATGCTTCTCAGTATGAAATTCTAAAGGTACCTTGTTAAATTAATTCTAAAATTATTCTTGTGGCTGGGTTTTTGTTTGTTTGTTTGTTTTTAGCGAGTACATCTATCTAGTTCCTCTGAAGGCAGTACGATTGATAATGCTATCCCCGAGGAAGGAGAAGAAGCAGTGGCTGAACCTGAAAATTCTGATGAGCCAGAGGCCTGTTTTACAGATGGTAAGAGGAAAACTGACATCTGTTCATGGTAATTTGACTATTGTTAATAGACTTCATTTTCAAAATGATGTTGTGGATGAGAATTTTGTTTCAAAGCATTCAAGTACCTGGGAGTGAAGGCTGGGTCATAATAAGAACAAGTGTCCTAATTAAAATCGCATCAGTGGAGCATGAGCAGTGAGTGACCTTTTCAGGTGTAAGTAATAGTAAAGTACTTTGCAAGCCTTTAGACACCCCATACAGCTAGGCTCTAATCAGTGTAAAATGGCAGATCCTGGGAAGTGGTCACATTATTGGAATTCACACTGGATTATTTTTACTGGGCTCCAACCACTATATATTCCAATATGACCACTTCTCAAAAATCGTTATTTGCACTAATCACAACCCAGCTGTGTAAATATCAGCATTAGTATGCATTATTAGTGAGAAAATAGAAGACTGTGAAGTCCCAGTTCATATTGGTTACCATAAATATGATCAGGAATCATGGATTTCCATTGAGTTACTAATTTGCCTTTATGATCTCAAATGAAAGTCTGTATTACAGAGGCAAAGATTAGAATCTAGAGTAATGAGCTGTCTTCCCTCTGTGAAGGTCATGGCTTTGTCTTTCCTCATATACCTTGTTTAGTATAGTGCCTGGCTTGTTGCTTGTTGATTTTTATAGCCCACCATTAATGGACTGTGAAATTTGAGTCATTTGAAGATTGAAGTCATTCATTTGGTCCGTTCATACTTGTTAAAATTGATTATCTGAAATAAAAAGGAAACTGAAGACAAAGTTATAGGGCCATCTATGATTTAATTTGCAAAGCTAGCATTTGCATATTAAACCAAGTCATCTGAATCCTCAGAGGTCAGAGACAAGGGGTGATTTAGAGAGATGATTTTTGTAACAAAAAAAGGTATTGGGAAAATGACAGAAACTTGTTTTGAACATAATTCAACTGGACAAGGCAGGTCACCTGACTAGTTAGCTTTCCCCCGGGACTTTCTTAATAATATGCCAGGTGTCCTTTCCTCCTGGCGGTACCTTTTGTAATCAGTGATTAGCAGTTACTCCCCCCATCCCACCCACCATCTTCCTTAGCAGAGTCTCTTACTCAACTTAGACTAGCAAAAGAAAAAAAAAAAGGCTTACCCACTAAGGGTGGAGGGAAAAAACAGCAACGACTGATGATCCCCAGCTAGCCTTTCTCCAACCGCCAGAGAAAACTCTATCAACCTCTGGTCAACCGCCATTTCTGCTAGAAAGGGGGACTTAGCCTTTTGAAAAACCTTATAATCTTATGATTGTTCTATTCTAAATTATCTGCTACTACATGATAAAGTCTTCTCAATCTATCTATTCACTAAATCTATAGATAACCTAGACTTAAGAGACTATGTTAGTCTGGCTTGGTTTAGGGAGCCTTATCTTTTAATTTAACTAAAAATAAATCAAAGTAATCAAAAAGAGTTGATTTCTTTTTCTTACTCCCTTGCTTGACCTTCTTTTTAAACATCTTGATGTAATTGTAAATATTAGTAATGTTTATAGCCGTGGAAAATGACAAAACCAGCTGACCTATATAAACATATAAACTTTATGTTCTAGCACCCTAACATTTTGCCCCGTGTATTTTTGATAATGATAATAATTACTGATATTGATGTAGTACTTTCCAGTTTGAAGGCATAGATTGAAGATGAGTATTATATATACGTATGCATATTTTTTCTCATTCAAGCTAATATAGAAGCATAATATAGTACCTACTCCATGTGTTTTTTAGGCTACTTGTATAATAGCAAAACAATTGGAAGATAAAGGTATTTGCAAGTTAGTATAAAATGCCTAAATTTCCTGAGCAGTGAAATGAGGGCATTCAATCTTGAAAATTTCTTCTAGCTTTAAATCCTCTGAAACTGTGATGGAATTTTATTTTAAGTAAATCTTTTTGCATATTTTATTTTAATGGAAAAGGGGTCCAACTAATAATTATTAAGTTTTCTACTTGCTCTTCCATCATTATGTGGAAAAGATAGCATTTGCCCTCTACAACAGAGACTATCAAGCCTTTTGCAGTGGCAGCATCCTTTGCAGTGAATAAAACTGCAGAGTCCTGGCCAAAAAAAAAATTCTTTCCAAATGACTTTTTAAAAACATTGACTATTAACACTATCAAATTGATATAATGTTAATTTAAATTATTAAAAAACCTTTAAGAGAAGTTTTATTATGGCTCTAATATGGTACTTCACATCTTAGAAGAAGAAAATGAATAGTCATTATTAATAAGTATTTTATAACTGATAACACTACCAGATGTTAGGGATACCTTGTAAGATATTCTGCAACAATTTTAATTATTTTGGGGGCAGCTAGGCTAGGTGGCACAGTGGATACAGCACCGGCCCTGAATTTAAGAGGACCTGAGTTCAAATCTAGCCTCAGACACATAACACTTACTAGCTGTGTGACCCTGGGCAAGTCACTTAACCTCATTGCCTAGCTGAAAAGAAAAAACAATTTTAATTATTTTTAATTAATATTTGAAGGCATTATTTCAGTTCATCATATTTTTACTTTAAAATTTCTATAGTTTTATTTTAAATTTGCTGCCATTGTGTAAGATATTTGGGCCTACTTACTAGAATAAAACTCAAATTGAAGCTATCTGTAATTATATTGGCATTTCTTTTGTCTGTGGAATTAGATTCTTGAATTAGGCTCATGGATGTTTATTTCATCATAGATAAGTAGGATTATAGGATTTAGTGACTAAAAGTACTGAAGAGATCATTTAAATCAAATCTTTCATTTTCTAGATGAGAAAAATAGTCATGATTTGTCCAAGGTTATTATATATTATATAGATAATAACAGAGTTATTATTCAAACTCAGATCTCCTGAGATATCAACAATTTTGGTTTTTGTTTCATTTATGCTTTTTAACTTTGTCCAGTTATCTAATGTGATCATTATAATAATCATTATAATCATTACAGAAATGATAGTAAACAGCTAGAAGTAATATTGGCATTGAAGCCAAAGGACATGTTCTCAAATCGAGTTCTCCCACTTGTTACCTTTGTGACTATAGGTCAGTCATTTAGCCTTAGGGTCTTTATCTGTAAAATGGAAACGTTGGGTAAGACGGGCCTCCAAGGTCCTGTCTTGCTCTATGATCCTATACATGGGCATATTATTTATATGTGACTGCCAGATATTTCATATGATATGGAGTTGGGAAGACAGATGCTAATATTGGTATCTTGTTCAGACTCCAGGAGCAAAAGAAGCACTCATAAGTCATTGAACAGTGAATAAAAGGCTTAGTTAGCCCCAAATTAGCAAGGGTACACACAAGAAGGTCTCGGTGGCACTTAGCACACACACACACACACACACATATGCAGTCCCCATGAGCAGGGCAGGGTATGCTAACTCACATGGTCTTTAGATTTCTGACTAGTCAGAGGGGCTCCACTTGAATGGGACTTTTTCATGCCCTTTCATGACCAGAAAGCTATGTCAGGGGAGATTAGGAGCCAATCAGTTCCTGAGGACAGCTTTGTTGCCCTTTATTCAAAACTAATCCCTTTTGTGGGCCTGATCTTGTCACAGATGGTCTCTGGCAAGACTCATTTTAAGCAATTTCAGATTGAATTTAGAACAGTAAGGCAGGTCACACAATTAATTTAAAATAATGCATCACTGGTGGTTCTGCACTTCAGGTAAACACACACTCTGTGATAGTTTTGCTGTTTGATGTTTGTCAAACACTACAATATGTTTATTCATGGACTCCGTTGGACTGCTTCACAGAGCTCCCGGATTCAGATTGGTCTTGAGCTACCTTACCTTAGTTAGCAATGCGAACATACTCCCTAATAATTACAAGGCTACGTTGCTAAACTTTATCACATGTTTTAGGTCATTTCATTTTTAATTGCCTATTACAGGTTGAATGCTTCAGATAGGCATACAAAGTTGGAAAACACATAGCTTGTACTCTCATGAACCTCACAATGTGATGCAATTAGATTTTTATTCAAAAGACCTGGGCTCGGAATCCAGTTCTACTTCTTGTCACCTGTGTAGCCTATGAAATGAATCAGTGAAAGAGACTGAGTAAAAAAGACCGTGAGGCAAAAAGAATCAGAAAATCATAACATTTAGATCTGGAAGTGACCCAACCCCATCACTTTGCAAATGAGACTAAACTCAGGCCTAAACAGTCTTTAAAAAGGCTATTAGAATTGATAATGAGGGCAGCTAGGTCGTGCAGTGGGTACAGCACCGGCCCTGAAGTCAGGGGGACCTGAGTTCAAATGTGGCCTCAGACCGAACACTTGACACGTACTAGCTGTGTGACCTTGGGCAAATCACTTAACCACAATTGCCTCACTAAAAAAAAAAAAAAGAAGAAGAAGAAGAAAGAGAAAAAAAAAAAGAATCGGTAATGAAAAGGTCACTGGAAACCTTGAAGTATACAGTTTAAGGAGAGTGATTGGATGTGAGGCTAGATTTCAGAGGAGCTAAGCAATCAATAGATAAGAGAGAAGAGACAATAAGGCTAGGCTGCTTGGGGGTATTATTCCTCCCATTCCGTTTTTATTATTCCATTTTTAAAAGTTGGTACATTTTGTTTTGATACAATAAATAAGTCCTAAGAAGCCTCCAAATGCAATCGCCTACGAGGCAATTTCTCTGAAAACAGTTAAGTTAAATTTATCTAAAAGAATGATTTTTGATTGATAGCATTTCACTTTCTACTTTTGTAGTTTGTCGACTATTAACAGAAAAGGTGGATGTGTTGTAAGGGCTCTTGTCCTGGCTGCTTTATCTTCTGTGGCTTTTTGTGACACTTCTTCTTGGGTCATGTTCTCCCTGATCCTTCTCATTCTACTTGGCTGGGTCATCAGCCATGCCCTATCCCCAAACAAGGCTCACATCCTCTTCTCTCTCAGTAATCTCACTGGCTTTCTTGAATTTAGCTATTATATTTAT